GACTGTGGCAGCTGTGCAGAGCTGGGTCTGGTACCATGGCTGCTGGGGCAGAACTGGGGCCGGACCATGGCTCTTGGGGCTCGGGCGCTAGCCTGGCTTGGCGACTCCTTCTTTTAGGACCGTTTGGAGCTTCGTGACCTCAAAAGGCCAGACGTAGTTCCAGAGAACGGCTCCTTGGACAGGAGCAGGAGCTGGGGCAGGAAGCAAGGGTCGACTCCAAACGGACCAACACCGATGCGTGTGGTGGTCATAAAGGGAATTGGGAGGTCAGAGAGCTAGCATGCCTGAGGCTAGCAGGCAGGGGGTAACAACCCGAGAGGAACTTCCAAAATCCAGCCCAGGGAAGAATCTCACCAAGCCTGTTTCCTCCATAGTTATCTGGTGCGGCCTCTGCCAGGAGCAGCCTAGAGCAGCTCTCGCTGCTTGAACCCCGGACGCTCCTAACCATCCATCGATCAGAGCAGGTAGCCAAGAAAAGGTAAAATCAACAATTCATGCTCAAAAGGATCTGCTGGGCCCATATTGTGGTTGGTTCGCATACTGTTACGGTTCAGTGAAAGAAGCCAGGACCCAAATGCAAATCAATCTGATTAACCTTTAATTTCAAGGAATAAAAAGAAAATAACTTGGACAAAAAACAGAACACTCACCGGTGAACTCATTCACAAACAAAAGGCGAACCAACACTGAACACAGGAAGAGACAAGACTAAATACAGGGAGGGGTAATCACAAGACGAGAAACAGCCGGGCAGGGGAGGAGAAACACAAGGGCCACAGGTGAACACAATCAGACAACTAGACACACCAGGGAAACTAACGACAGGAGGAAAAACACAGGGAAAAGGACCAGACAATATACCCAGAGGAAAACATGACAGGGAGAACAGCAAAACACCCAAAACAAGACATACAAAACGTGACATAACACAATAATCGTAACAACAACTAGCAGTTATGCAAGCAAGCTTTTAAGCAATTTTAAGCAAAATTGTGCGTGTTAGAACCTAGTATATGATTCAGAATCTGAACAGGCATTGTTTTGTTCCCTCCTTGCCACCATCTCCTCTTTCTGCTGATAATCTCCAGTTTTAGTTCACAATGTATTTAAGCATGCTTGCAATACCTGAGAGAATTCTTTAATAGCATTTCAAAAGAATGCATTTACAGGTTATGAGCTGTGCTCTATTGATTTGTTGTCAGCCCACACAAGCACTTTTATTTAGAGACTGAACACAAGATGCATCATACACACACTCCTTGATAGAAGAAGATTATGTTTCTGGTCTTTAGCTCATTGTATTACTTCTCTATATGCCACCAACCCCTTCTTCCTAATCCCTTTACATTATTCAGTGTGTGGGTGACACATGTGTACATTAGATCCATGTTCATAAGCAGAAACGTATGATGTTTAGGGTCAGGTGTGTGTGTGTTAGCTGACATTTGGAATACATTACAGAGATGTTTGTTTGTGTTTGAATGGGTAAGTGTGTTTTCCCGTGTTGTTGTTCTAGGTATTAGAGTGAAATTAAGTGTGAAATAAGCTTTTCAGTCTCTGGAGTGTAGCTGTGGGAAGTCCCCCTCAACACATCACGCATGTTTACCACCCATCCCTTCATGTGTATACCATCCCACCTTGCCCATTAGGCCTCCACTAAAGCTCACATTTGATAGCAACAAGGTGAGCATATTGTGATGGATACACTGCTAATGAATAGGCTCACCGAAGAGAACGTGGGGGTATTATAGAATCGTAAACCCTCTGATTTATATGGTAATCTGCTCATAAGACCAAAACAGTATATGCTGAGGATTTACAAATGACAAGATATTCCTGTATGTAAAGATTGTGTATACCCGAAGAAATATCCAATACTATATGAGGAGGGAAAAAGGGCTGCAGGGCTGACACAAGTATGGGATGCAGGCAAATGTATGTGTGAGGAAAGTCAGGTTATTGCTGGGTTGTAGTTGGAACAGGTGTGAAGAAGGGCAGGGAGGTCAGGTGATGAGGAATGTTGGGAAAGTCCGAGGGCATCTGGTAGGGTTGGGCGATTGGGTTAGGGTTAAGAGGTCAACGATTGGCTAAGAACATCGAAGATTGATTTATCTTTTTTTATATCGCTAATTGAACTGTCTTCCTTCAAAGAAGAGCAGAGAACCTGCCCAGTGGTCAGAGGGACAGACAGACAGACTGTAGAACAGTGTGTAGAGCCATCTTATTTTAACGTTTAACCCAGTGAATTAGGTTGA